GGCGGGGCCGCCGCCGCTCGGCCCGTCGCGCGCCGCGCGTCCCAGGCCGCGCCCTGCTTCCACCAGCGGCCCTTGGCGTCGGCGTCCCGGAGGTCGGCCCACTCGAGGGCCAGGGGCGCGAGGCGCGCGCCCGCGGCGCGCGCCGCGGCCGCGACGGCCGCGCGGAGCGTCTTCGACCGCGCGACGTCGGCCGCCCGCGCCGGGCGGTCGCCCTTCGACACCGTCGCCGCGCAGGCGGCGGCGAGCGCCGCCGCCGCGTGGCGCGCCCGCGCGTCGTCGGCGCCGGCGCCGCGTTTCTCGGGCAGCGCTTTGAGCCGCTCGGGGAGCTCGCGGCGCGCGCGGTCGCGGCACCCGGCGGCGAGGAGCGCCGCGAGCTCGAGGTCCGCCGCGGCGCCGCGGCCCGCGAGCGCCTCGGCGAGGCTCAGGGGCAGCGCCGCGCTGACGAGGCCGCAGTCGCAGAGCGCCGCGAGGAGCGCCGCGGCGTTGGCGACCCGGGGCGGCGCGGCGCCGCCCGGCGCGGCGCCGTTCTCGGCGTGGGGCGCGAGCGCCCGCCGGAGCTCCTCCAAAACCGCGGACCCGAGGTCGCGGCCGCCGCCGACGTGGACCGCGGCGACGCAGGCCGCGTAGGGCGGTATTAACGTGGCGGCCATGGACTGCTTCGCGTGGAGGCACTGCGCGGCGCACTGCGCGACGACGGCCGCGTTGATCGCCGCCGCGGGGTGCGCGCCGTACGCGGCGACGATCTCGGCCGCGCAGGCCCCGACGGTCGCGTCGGCGACGCGGTTCAGGCACCCCATCAGCGCGGCACTCGCCGACGACGGCGCGCCGCCGCCGCCGCCGCTAAAGCCCTTCTCCTCGAGCCGCCGCCGGAGGCTCGGCGGCACCCACGCGCCGCCCGTCGTCGACCGCCCGTAGAGGTCCTCGCCGCGCGTCGGCGCGTAGTGCACCGTCGTCCCGCCCCGGCCGTCGTCCGCGGCGTCGTCGTTGGTCGGGCCGCCCCGCGCTTCTTCCTCTTCGCTCTCGACGCCGTCGTCGCCGTCGTCGCCGTCGTCGTCCGGCGCCTCGGCGCCGCCGACGCTGTCGACCTTGTCGAGGAAGTCCATAAAGCCGTCGCCGAAGCCGTCCTCGGCGAACTCCGCGTCGAGGGCCTTGCGCGCCGACTTCTTCTTCGTCCCGCCGAGCTTCTTCTCGAGCGCGGCGATCATCGCGTCGTCCTCGTCGTAGGCGGCCGCCGGCGCCGGCGACCGCTTCGCCGCTTTGCCGCCGGGACGCTTCCGCTTCAGCGCCGCCTTGCGCTCCTTGAGGGAGACCATCGCGAGCTATACGTGCGTTCTACCGAAGCGCCGATTCTCGCAGCATCGCCTAACTGGGCTGCACCTTGAACACGTTGCCGAGAAGTTGAAGTCCAAAGCGTCGCCCCCCAGCGCGGTGCTTTCGGTTTTACGCGCGGCCGCGGGGCGGGTGCGCCGGCACGGCTCGTCGGCGCGGCCCGCCGGCGGCGGCGGCCGCGCCCGCGCGGGGGGACAACAGGGAGGCGCGCCTCAGTTCGCGTCGGGCTTCGCCTTGGCCTTCTTCGTCGCGCCGTTCTTCTTGGGCGGCGGCGCCCGCTTGGCCACGGGCGCCTTCTTGACGGCCGCGGCCTTCTTCGACGGCGCGGCGGCCCGTTTCCTGCTCCGCGGCGCGGCCGCGGGCGCCGCGGGCGCCGCGGCCCGTCG